GACCTTGCTAATTCTCCAGCCATGCACTGTTCTCCATGTTTGTGTGTGTGTGTGCACACATGTGCCTAAGTCAGTGTTAACTGCTGGCGACTGCCTGGCCAAGTCACTGCGGTTTTCTTGGTAAGAGTTCAGAAATGGCTTGTCACTACTATTGCCATGTTTAGAGGACAACCATTTGTAGTAGCAAACCTTTTGTTGGTGATAAATTGTATGTAGGGTAATGCTCCAATATAGATGGTCCTTCTCTACATGTGGATAATGACACAAGGGAGGCTAGGCTCGTATACTTGGCTATACTTCCCTTTCTCTCTTATGCACACAGGGTCAGACTTGTCCATTAGTGTATCAGTAGGCTAGGGTGGGGCTCATATTCCATTATTTTCTCTAGTGGTGGTACTGCATTATGATTGACTCTGATGGCATAGTGGAGTGGCAGTGGGACTAGCAGTAGTGCAGGCAGGCATGCAGGTTTAGGCAAGAATAAGCAGTCTCACTTCTTACAGACTGGACAATTGATGCCCTTTTCTTCCTTTCTGTTCCCCTCTGGGTTTATTTTCTTTGCCATCGTTGTCCTTTTGTCATGTGGCATTTTTGTGTTTTTTGTTTTGTTTTTATTTTTAAATGTTGTAACAACTGTAAACTGCCCAGAGTCAGTGGGAGTCGGGCAGCATATAAATTTAATAAATTATTATTATTGGTCACACAGTCAGCCAGTTGTTTAGACTGGATTTGGCATTTTTATACACCTATTGAGTCCTTCCCAAGGACCTGGGATAGGCAGATGTTGTTTGATGGTGTTAAAGGCATTGTCTCAGGATGTAAGCTGTTCTAAGTAAAGCTGCCTTTTGCAGTTGACTGATGGTGATTTTGTCAATGCTGATGGTCTTCAGATGGTGCTCCAGATGTTTTGGAATTGCACCCAAGGCATCTATAACTATTGGTACTATCTCTGCTTTCTTTTGCCATAATTGTTCTACTTCTATTTGCAGGTCTTTATATTTTGTAATTTTCTCCAGTTCTTTTTCTCCTATTCTGCTGTCTCCAGGTATTGCAGTGTCTACTATCCAGACTTTTTTGCCTTTCCTATCAACAACTGTTAAGTCTGGGATGTTGTGTGGCAGACACTTGTCTGTTTGAATTCTAAAGTTCAGTAGCACTTTAGCTTCTTCATTTTCTATTACAGTGGTACCTCGGGATACAAACGCCTCTACTAACGAACTTTTCGGGTTACGACCAGCTCCGGCCGCAAAATTTTACCACAATGTGTGAACTCCGCCTCAGGGTATGGTCATTTTTACGCCCTGACACATGGTCTGCGGCCATTTTTCCGCCCCTGACACGTGGTTCACGGCCATTTTTCCACTGCGCCGTGTGGCGCCCGGCTTTTTTCACGCCATGCTGCGCTGCGCCCGGCCGTTTCCCCGCCCCTGATGCGTGGTCCGCGGACACCAGAATGGATTAATGGTAATTACATTGAACCTTATGGGAAAATTT